GCATTTGCAGATTCTGCCCAACCTTAGAGATCGATGCAAAACCATTTCAGCTAAGAACGCGCTGATCACCTCAGTATTTGCATGGGCCACAGATCCTTTTCTTCTCCCAGCAAGCTCAGAACTGGAATTCAGAGCAGACTAATTGACCTACAGCCCATCCAGGTACTTCTGGCGCACTAATTATGCTTTTCACCTTCTTGCTCTGTGTCAGAATAAAAACGCCTTGATGTCAGAATACAAACGCACCAAGGAAAGGCAGGCACAACCTCACCCATTCCCCTGATTTTCCCCGAGAATAAAAGAACAGAACTACTTTTGGGCCTGTCGGTGCTGCAGCTCTGTGCCAGTGTCTCAGCACCACAGCAAAGGCCGTGCCATCGAGGCTGGCAGCTTCTTGGTGAGGGCACACATGGAGGTTTTCTCCTTCCCATTCATCCCTCTGGCTTAAAAAATAGCGTCATTTCCTTCAGGCAGGCCAAACAAGTTTGCTTTTCTTGTCCTGTTTCTTGTTTTCATCCAGCTGCCAGCCTAGAGATTTCTCCATCCTAATTTACTTGCCCCAGTGTTAGGCAGGCAGACCCACCGTCAGCCCTTTGCTTTCATCCCCCAGGTACCTTCATGGGTACAAAACCCAAGGCGGACAGCTGAAATGCCAACACTACGTATCCGTGTTCTCGCAGAACCCCATTCATTTTCTTGGTGTTAATTCCCTTGCTTTTCTGTTCTGCTCCTCCCCAAATCTACAATTTCCACCATCGATATCTTGCGCAACATTATCAGCGCAAGAATGTGAAGAGCAAAGGAGAGTTGGGGCGATGTAAAATAAATGCGATATTAACATAAAAAGCACAAAATAAACTCTACTGAGTTCCTGGATCATTTTCAGATTTCTGTCCCCAGACCGCTACACTTCTCTGCTTAGCTTGATCCCAAAGCACCTACAGGTACCACCCAGATGTGCTGCAGATTAAGAGGGTAATTTGCTTTAAAGGCATCTTTTGTTTCTATTTCTTCCCTCTTTTCATTTGATCTTCATTCTGCCCATTCCCTTTTTTTCCTGCTCCCTCCAGCTGATCACGGGGGCCAGCCTAAAGACAGAGAGAAAAAATCCAGTGAAAGAAATAGGGTCAGGAGCAGTCTGGAATCAGGAGCTAATGAGGAAGAAGCAGGAGGCACTGAGCATCCTGATCTGGTTGAAGATGTCCCTGCTCCCCATTGGGCTAGACGGCCTCTACAGGTCCTTTCCAACCCAAAACATTCTGCAATTCTATGATTCTAGAAGGGAGGGGCAGCCATGCAGAGGAGCCTCTAGCCGGGCCGGGGCTGCAGACACTGATCCGAAGTAGAAGCGCTGCCACTGCACCGCTGAGGGTAGCTGGGGAGGCAAAGACTGAGGGTATCTTGAAAGTAAGGTGTCATAGCATGGAAGATTAAAAATAGGTTGAAGCCCAGTTTGCCTTCACAAGTTCTCAGGTCACCAGGCACTTGAGGAGCAAGACCATAAAGACACTGTGTGGCTGGGTAGATGGGCCCCTCACTACAAGAAAGACATTGCCTTGCTGGAACATGTCCAGAGGAGAGCCACAAAGCTGGGGAGGCGTCTGGAGCACAAGGCTTATGAGGAGCGGCGGGGGGAGCTGGGGG